CACAGGGAGGAAAACCAGAATATTCAGTAAATGATGCTGGGAAAAACTGATTACCCATATGGAAAAAAAATGAAACTGGATCCCCACCTCACACCACACAAAAATCAACTGCACATGGATTAAAGACATAAATATGAAAGGTAGTATTTTAAAGCTTTCAGAAGAAAATATCAGACTATATCTCTACAACCTCAAGGAAGAGATAGATGTGTTAAACAAGATGCTGAAATCACAAACCGTAAAGGAAAAGGTTGACACATTCAACTACACTATAGAATGTGTCCATCAAAAATGACATAAAGTAAACAAACAAACAAAAAAACACATAAAGTAAAAGACAAAACAAGCCTGGGGAAAAGATATTTGCCATATGCATAATTGATAAGAATAAGTACCATAAATAAATAAATGCAACTTCTGGAAATCAATTTATAAAAGTAAAAAAAAAATAGTCAAAAAACAGATATCTCATACAAGAGGAATTACGGAAGGTTCGACATCATCAGTAATGAAGGAAATGTTAAGTTAAACCACTAATGGAGTACCAATTCTTACCTGCCAGACTGTTGAAAAGAAACAATTCAGATAACTACAAATGGTGTACAAATGTCTCAAATGTTGAGGAAGGGAACAAAGTGAACACTTAACACACTGCCTGTGAAAGTATAAACTGGTACAACCACTTTATAAAACAATTCAGTATTATCTAGCAGAACTGAAGACCCACAACTCTACTCCTAGGCAAAGACACATGGATTAGAATGGCCCTAACAGGTGCGCCTAGGTGGCTCAGTCGGTTGGGCATTTGCCTTCGGCTTGGGTCGTGATCTTGGGGTCCTGGGATAGAGCCCCATGTTGGGCTCTGCGCTCAGCCAGGAGTCTGCTTCTCCCTCTGCCCCTCCCCCCACTCGTGGGTGCTCTCTCTCTCAATGGATAAAATCTTAAAAAAAAAAAGGAAAAAGGAATAGCCATAACAAAACAGCTTTTTTTTTTTTTTAATTTTATTTATTTATTCATGAGAGACAGAGAGAGAGAGAGGGGCAGAGGGAGAAGCAGGCTCCCAAGGAGCAGGGAGCCCGATGCGGGACTTGATCCCAGGACCCTGAGATCATGACCTGAGCCGAAGGCAGACGCTTAACCATCTGAGCCACCCAGGCGCCCAACAAAACAGCTTTTAATGGCAAAAAGTAAAAATTAAATTAAAAAAAAGAAAACTGAAAACACCCCTAAATATCCATTAACAGGGAGATGGATTAACAGTGGTAAAGCAATGGAATGATATAGAGCAATAAAAAGTAAATGAACTATAACACATCAACATCGATGAATCTCATAAATATAATGTATAAAAAAGCCATGGAATAGACAAAACTAAACATTACATTATTTATGAATACAGACTTATGTAGTAAAACTATACAGAAAATCAAGGAGTGTAGAAAGAAAAAGACGCAGAAAGATACAACTAGGGCTTTGAAAATACTGACAATGTATTATCTCTAAAGCATGATATAAGTGGCTTTTATTTGTATTCTCTAAATCTGTGGATGGGTCAAAAGTACTATTTTGTACATATGAAATAATTTCTCATTTAAAAATTAAAGAAATGGGGCGCCTGGGTGGCTCAGATGGTTAAGCATCTGGCTTTGGCTCAGGTCATGATCCCAGGGTCCTGGGATCGAGTCCCGCATCGGGCTCCCTGCCCCTTGGGAGCCTGCTTCTCCCTCTGCCTCTCTCTCTCTCTTTGTCTCTCATGAATAAATAAATAAAATCTTTTAAAAAAATAAAAATAAATAAAATAAAAATTAAAGAAATGTATGGTCATGGTAGCAAATACGAAAAATACTGAAAACTATATGAAGAATATAAAAATTATCAATAATCCCAACACCCTGAGATAACTACAATATTTAGAAGAAAAAATAGGGGCGCCTGGGTGGCTCCGTCAGTTAAGCACCTGCCTTTGACTCAGGTCATGATTTCAGGGTCCTGGGATCAAGCCCCCATGTTGGGCTCCCTGGTCAGTGGGGAATCTGCTTCCACTTCTCCCTCTCCCTCTGCCCATTCCCCTGCTCGTGCTCTCTCTCTCTCAAATAAATAAATAAAATCTCTAAAAAAGAAAAGAAAGGAAAAGAAAAAATATAGTGTGTTTTCTTCCACGATTTTGTTTACTTTTTTTACAGCCTTATTTAAGTACTGACTTCCAGTAAATTGCACGTATTTAAAATGTACAATTTCATGAGTCAAACATATGTATACATTGGTGAAAGCATCTTCACAATCAAGAAAATGAATAACCCACCAACCCCAAAAGTTTCCTCACCCCTCTTTCCGATCCATCCCTCCTAACTTTCCCTTGCCTCATCCTCAAGTAACCACTAATCTGTTTTCTGTTGCTTTCAGCTAGTTTGCATTTTCTAGAATTTTGTCAGGTACAGTTTGAACATAGTTTATGCATATGATTTGCTGTTGTTGATACATTTTTCCAAAATGATTTACCAATTTACACTTCTACCAGCAGAGTACAAGAGTTCCAGTTGCTTTATATCCTCGCCAACACTTGATTATTGGCCTTTTCCATTTTAGCTATTATTTTCATATTCCAAATGTAAATACACATAAAACGTGTCTGAACAAGCAACAACAAAAAAACAAACTTTCAATGATGATTGAAATAAAACCCCTTATAAAGAAATTTTCACCTAAGAGCATTTTCCCTTGAATGCATAATAATAACTGAAGCAAAGCCCCTGACATATGCCTCATGAATTCTGATTTAACCAAAACGTCTGATTTCTACATAAGATATTGAGAAGAATCATAGATAGACAAGAAAGAATCACATGACTTAAAGGTAAGCCGGGAGTATCACAGTACTGGAACTTAGGTGAAATGCCATCTGACACAGTTTGTGAAAGTGTCACTTTACCACTAATAACACCTGAACCCAACAGACCAAAATACCACTATGATAGTGGTCATAATTTGAATGGGGGAAGATGAAAATCTTTCTTATAGTAGTTCTATTCAATATGCTCAGCTACTTGCTCTCAGCTTCTCCTACTTAACCATGAGACAGGAACAACGCTGTGAGATGCACTTTAACATAAAGGTATTATTCTGTTGTCCTTACGTTCTTTCCAAATGGGACTGTAAACTCCCTTCTACCACCCTGTCACCTCTTCTAATCTTTGTTTCTCAAAATAAGGACTCTACTCTCCTTATCTTTATTTCTTCATTCTCTATTTACTCTTCAAATTCATTCATATTTGACTTTCATCCTTATCATTTTGCTTATATTGTGTTTGCTGAGATCAATGACCTCCTATCCTAACTACCAAAGCCAGGACACCCTTAACCAGTTCCTATTTTCCAGATCCCTCTGACTCATTTGAGATAGATTTCTCTCCTGATTAAAACTCTTTCCTCTCCAGGCTCCTATGAACTACTGTCTGCTAGATTTTCCTCCTTCTTTCCTGACTTCTCCTCACTCTCCACGGCTGTCTCTCTACATCACTTAAATGTTGGTGTTTCCCATCCTTGGTCTTCTCTTCTCACTCTACTTATTTGAGTGATTTCTTCCACTCCCACAGGACTAATGACCGCAAACCCACCATGCTTCTAACATTTACAACTCTTGACTACAGAAAATCCCAATACTAACACATCTGCCAACCAAACAGTTCTGCCAGCCGTCCTACAAGAACCTTACTCCTTTTCTCTCAACCTGAATTAATCTGGTTCCTTTTTTTAAAGATTTTATCCACTGAGAGAGAGAGCGCCCATGTGCTCTCTCTCCATGTGTTAGCTTTATTCACGAATACAATGGTAATTCAAGTGGAGCCAATACAAGAGATACTTTTGAAATATTTTTCTTGAAGGGTTTAAAGAAACACAAATTTTTAAGAAGACTTTTTCCTCCAGTTATGAAGGTAACTCACAGCCATTGACAAAAACTACAAAATACAAGAGATAAAAGGTAAATCTCCAATTCCAGCTCTCAAGGGCAAGCAATATTAACATTTCCTTCCAGAAGAAGCAGTTTTTAACCACAATAAAGTTACATATCAAAATATTAAATCAGTAAATAGGGAGTGTTGTTGTTAACTCAATATCTTCCAGGCTACTTTTTACAATATTAATCAGGGAAAAAAAACAAATTCTACTATAAGCTTACCTGGAGTAAGAATCAGAATAATATTCTAAAAACCAAAGCAATCCTTTCACATGCTGTATTTTAAGTATTCTAAAGGAATCCATGTTTTTGGCTTGGCATCTATCTTGCCTATATCTGGACGTCTATCTGGGTGCAATATACCCCACAAATCAGCCATGCCGTTTCCCTTTATTTAAAGGAAGGGACAGCGAAGGAGGAGGAAGAAAAAAAAAAAAATTGGAAGAGACAGAAGCCAAATCTAAAATCAAGCTGAGTGTACAACTCGTGTTTTGCAAAAACCATAGGGAAGTACCATTGTTAACACCCCTTCTCTGCTTCTAAAAGTTTCAGGAACATCACAGATAAAAGATTCTCAGCGAACCTGTTCTTATCCGACTCTCCATCTTTGCCCAGAGCCCCGCCGGACTAGGGTCTCCCCTCCCTGCGGTCGGGGGCTCCCACTGAACAGACTCCGGCAGGGCGGGGGCCCGGTCTCGCGCCCCCCCCCCACGTTACGGCCAACCCCCCGCCCCGCCCACGGTGAACCCGGCCGTCGAGGGGCCCCAAACCTGCCCAGGGCTCCCGAGAGCAGGTGTCGCTGAGGAGACCCGGGAACGGCCCCCGGGGCCCCCCAACGCAGACGATATTTCTGAAGAGTTAAAGGAGATGAAACCCCATACAGAACAGTTCGCCCGGTGCGGCTGGGGGCGAGAAGCTCCTCTGCTGGGGCAGGGGCCGCTCTCGCTCCGCCCCCCGCACTCCGCGCGCCCGACCCGGAGGCCCGAGACAGCTGCGGCGCCAGGCCCGCGCCACGCTGCGCGCCCGGCAGCGCCCCACGGCGCACCTGAGCCCGCGGCCCCCTCGCCGCCAGAGACCTGCCGCCCGGCCGCCGTGCGCGGGGTCTCCACGAGCGGCTCCCCGGGCGCCCCCGCTCCACGCCGCGCTGAGCCGGCGCCGCGTACCTCCGGCCCCGCAGCGGCCACTCCGCCGTGGCCTCCCGCGGGAGCCGGGCCCCGGTCACCTCGCGCGGCCGCGCCCTGAGACCCCGCCTCCGGCCCCTCCGAGTCCGCCCCGCCCCCCCGGAGGTGCGCGCCGAGGGGCGGGGCGGGGCGGGGCGGGGCGGGGCGGGGCGCCCCGCCGATTACCTGAGCGCGCTGGGCTGGCGCCCTCGGCTTCTCCCGTCTCGCCACTCCCAGCCCCTGCTCTGGGCTGCGCCCTCTGGCAAGATCTAACTCGGAGCCAGGCGGAGTTTGGAGTGCGCTGAGGGGTCAGAAGGGAGATTAAAAACGAAGAGAGGCATAGGAGGAAAGTTACTGGCCTGATGAACTTCTTTGTATAGGGAGGATGGAGCGGTCTTTCTTGCCAGAGGGGTGGCTGCACCCTTTTCTTGGAAGCAGAAGAACCTTTTCTAAGCTGCCTTGTATTTGTTACCTAAGAATCAGCCTGCTTCTCTTCACTTTTGTGGCTTTACACCTACTACCACCTTGCCAGCGATAGGTATGTTGGAAGGAATCCTAAAGGCATCTGCTACAGTGCCCTGGCCCCCCATATTTCGCTGGAATCCCTTCTAGCGCCCTGACAAGGAGTGGGATGGCCCTTTTATGCTTCCCGTGCTGGGAATCTCAACACTGTTCTTAGGAAGTTGTTGAGTGACTTCCTAGATGATCTGTTGAATGGCTCAGCTTTTGAATGGCTGATGAGGTATAAATTGAAATTACTCTCCTTGAGGGTCACGACACACTTACAGACCTAAGAACTGTGTTTTACTTGGTATCATCCTGTAGTTCCCAAATTTATTTGACCTGAAGTGTGGCAGGCCAAAATATGCCACTTTGGCATAACGGGTTTTTTTTTTTTTTTTTAAGTTAAAAGCACTTGAGAAACAGCAGATACAAGATCGCTCTGACCTTCCTTTTTCTTCCTGAAAACAGAAGATGAAACTCCCAAACGAAACACATCGTCCCTGTACCAGGAGACAAGAAACATTCTTATCACCAGAGACAGGGAGTCGAGGACAAAGGAAATCAATACACACAAACCTTCCTAGTCACTTCACCATTAACTGCCTCAGCTCAAGCCCCTTTTTCACTATTTACGACCCTTTGTCCAACTTAGTGTGTAAGTGTTCAGCTCTAACTGCTTTTGATCTCCGTTTTCCTACAAGGGCTGCCGTGCAGCATGTAAAACACTGTATGCTTTGCTCTTCTTAATCTGTGTCAATTTAATTCTCAGCCCCAGCCAGAAACCCTAAAAGGGTGGTGGTAACGTTTTGCTTCCCCTACACACCACACAACTGTCTTCTTAAGAAATGCCTGTCGCCATCCTGGGCCATTAATGTTCAGATGCACACAGTTTGATAAACACTACTTAAAAGCCCTCGTACATTCACCTTCGATAATTTCTCTGTGACAAATGTTTGCAAAGTCCTGTACTGTTTACACAAAGCTCTCACATGAGTCATCTCATTGAACTCTCACAATTATGAGGTAACTGTTATTATCCTTGTTTTACAGTTGAAAATACTGAGAGTCAAACAAATAGTGGTTGCCCAAGTATAGAGTCAAGATTGACTCTGGACTTCAGACTCCAAAGCTCTTAAATATATATTATATAAAACATGTGTGTGCACATATATGTATATATACATATATGATGTGCTGTACTTAAAGGTCAAATGAGAAAGCAAATATATATATTTTCTCTGACACTTTGTATTAGAAAAACTCAGTTTTCCACCTGTTGTAGGGGAAAACCCAGTTCTTTCCTCCTGTGTTTGTCTTGCCCCTGTACCTTCTTGACTCCTCATACAAAACACTTTCATTCTGACATTTCTGGTCTCCAACTATGTGAAGGTTTTTCCCCACACCACGCAATTCTCTGCAACACCAGCTAGATGTCCTACAATTCAATTCAATTCTGACATTACTTCCCAGAGAGAGCATCAGATCCCACAGGTGAAGGGCTCAGTCCCATAAGACTGCCTCCCTGCACTGCCCCCCTCCAACATTACATGCCAGCCAAAAGCCCAGGTTATCATCTGTGCTTCTGACCAACCAACTATAGATCAGAGGTTCCAATGACCCCCACCCCCTTCCTTGGGTTCAATTCATTTGTGAGAGCATCTCACAGAAGAACTCAGGGAAATGCTTACTTAATTTTACCAGTTTATCAAAGGATATGATAAAGGATACAGATGAACAGCCAGATGAGGAGATATATAAGGCAAGGTCTGGGAGGGTCCTGAACACAGGAGCTTCTGTCCCCATGGAGTTGGGGTGTATCACCCTTCCAGTGTGGATATCTTTGCCAACCTGGAAGCTCCCCAATCCCTGCACTATTGGGAAGCTTCCTCACATTGGCATGATCACTTACTAACCCCATTTCCAGCCACTCTCCCCTCTTAGGAGGATGGGGTGGGGGGTAGGTAGGAAATTCTGAGTTTCTAATCATGGCTTGGTCTTTCTGGTGACTGGCCCTCATCCAGGATCCCACATAGAGTCACCTCATGAGAACAAAAGATGCTCCTAGTGCTCTTATCGCTTGGAAATTTCCATGAGTTTTAGGAGCGCTCAGCTAGGAACCAGGGGCAGAGATCAATATTTATTTTCTATTATCTCACACCCTTAAATAGAGCCAATCCTTGGCTAGCAACCTCCAGATGCCTGTGTTAGTTCTCAAGGTGAAGGACCTTTACCTATCTTTTACTCTCCTGGGGCACCTGACATCATAGTGCAGGGCACAGAAGTGTCTGTCACTCGAATGTGCTGAATGAACAAAGAATGAGTAAATGTGTGAATGCTCAGTAATACTTATTAAACTAGACTGAGAACTTGGTTCCCTAACTGAACAATCTTAATAACCGCCTCACTGATGGAGGAGTCCCAAGAGAAAGCACTCCCTGAATTGTTCTTAGTTTCAGTCCATCTTCCATCTAAAAAGTCTTTCTTAGAAGAATCCACTCCTATTGACAGAGTTCTTTGAAACAATGAAACCATTCCCTTTGTTTTCCTTGAAATGGGCCTTCTTCCTGTTCTGCTTTCAGAGGCAAAAGGCTACACTGATAGGGATGGAGGATACTGTACACCTTTCTTTGTGTCCTTCCGTTTAAACTCTTCCCATAAAGTGTTGCAACATTCCGAGTGGCTTTTGTGTGTTGATTTTTAATGTTAAATATGTTTTTAATGTTTAATGTCTTTTATTCGTTGGAGCAGATCTGAGGAGAAAAATATAATCGGGTTGATGCAGATAACACTGCTGCTTAGATTTTGCTATCCCTATTCTTTCATTTGATAGAGATAAATCACTTAATCCCTGTCCTAATCCCTTTTCATTCATCCTTCCTTCAATGCAGTTTACAAATGCTTGGTGACTCAGTCCAGCCCTACCTTTTAGCCTCACCTCCCACTACCCCCACCACACATTTTTGACCTTCTGAATTAGTTGCTATTCCCTAAATTGCCAAATTTGCACTTCTGTTCCCCTGACCTCTATTTTATAGGTCATGAGTTGACAAATACATGTTCATTCAGCTGAAGTATCACCTCTTCTGGAAGGTGAAACTTCATAAAACCCATCCCAGAGTGAATTAGGTACTCTACCTCAGCCTTCCCACCACCATGCATCCATATCTCTGTCATGGCCCCTACACAATAATTGTAATTGTTGGCTTCTTTTCCCTCTTCCTACTAAACTCATTCTATGTGAGTTACCAATAGACAGGAATTATGACTTCCCAAGCACCTAGCACAGTACCTGCCACATAGAAGGCCCTCAAGTATTTGTGGAATGAATGAGAAAAGAAAAATCTTTAAAAGAATATGAACTCTTAGAGCACTCATGAAAAAATTTCGCAAATATAAATGGTCATTTGGATAGAAAGGGGTAGCAGACAGATTTTCTGCCCTAGAAAACAGAAGCCTGTACATAGTTATTCATTCGTTCTTTCATGTGCTTATGCAACTAACAATCTTGAGTACCCATGATGTACCAGGAACAGTCCTGAGCACTTGCTTCAGAGGGAAGTGACCTTTCAGCAGAGCCATAAATGCTCACCAAACTTTCATTTTCCTGAACATAAAGCTAAGCTACTTTGTCTATTCCCCCATACATGTGGCCAGTTCTCACTGATGGAATTTGAGCAGAGGTAGAATTTCACTTCTGGGTCTAGGCAATTAAGAACTGGTGAGTCTTTTCCCCACTCTCTCCTTCTTCCCATTCTTTGACTACCTTAGACCATTGCTAAAGCTGAAAATGCAACCAGATGGAAGCCCAGGTCCCTGATTGACTTCAAAGAACAAGGCGCCCCCCACCACCCACTAATCTTGACTGGATTATGGGCGCCTGGGTGGCGCAGTCGTTAAACGTCTGCCTTCGGCTCAGGTCATGATCCCAGGGTCCTGGGATTGAGCCCTGCATCAGGCTCCCTGCTTGGCGAGAAGCCTGCTTCTCCCTCTCCCACTCTCCCTGCTTGTGTTCCCTCTCTCGCGGTGTCTCTCTCTGTTAAAAAATAAATAAAATCTTTAAAAAAAAAATCTTGACTGGATTGTGATGTAAGTGAAAAATAAACTTTATGGTATGAACTACTAACATTTGTGGATTCCCCCCCCCCCCGCAGGTAACTTTATATACCCTGATTAACACAGTCATAAATGATGGCATATAGATTAAGACACTAGAAAATTGTTGTCTCCTGCTCTAGGGATTGCATGGGAGACATGGAACATGAAAATCTATCAAAGGTATTAAGGTCATAGAGACTTTAAGTTTGTCCCAAGTGGACAAATAAATATCTTTATGGATACACAGCTCTCTGTGCTCTCTCTCAGGTGGCCACCAGATCAGAATGTTGACATTTTGGGGCACATGGGTGGCTCAGTCAGTTAAGCATCTGCCTTCGGCTCAGGTCATGATCTCAGGGTCCTGGGATAGAGTTCTGCATCAGGCTCCTTGCTTAGTGGGGAGTCTGCTTCTTCCTCTCCCTCTGCCCCTCCTTCTGCTCATGTGTGTGTGCTCACTCTCGCTCTCTCTCC